GACTGATCTTGCTTTTACACCAACAGGAAAAAATAAACATCTGTTCTGCAGTTGGAATTTGACTTTTAATACCTCTAATAAAAGGATTTATGTGAAAAAAGAAGGGACAAGCAAGACAATACTGTAATCAACGTAGGGCAAGTTTTCTGCCTAAGCAGAAATCTTCTGCCTAGGAACAGAAACATAGGACATTTTCTGCCTAAACAGGTATTTTATCATTAGAATCTCCCATGGCTTTTCAAAACTGACTTGAAGTGGATTACTGTTCATCTCACACTACTTTTAGTAATGGTGTTCAAGTGCACTAGCAATTCTTGAATAAACAGATCTGAGACAAACAAGAGATTACTTTTTCTACACAAAACATAATTAAAACATGGAACTGAGAGCCACAAGGGACTGTGGAGGCTGAAAGAAAACATGAGTTCAAAAATGGAAAAATTTCTAGAGAAAAATGGGGTCACCTCATCTGTTTTTTGTCTGTTGGTGGCCACTGCTGGAGGCAGGTTAAAAGGCTAGAAGCACCTTTGGTTCTGATCCACACTGGTAGTTCTTAGGACAATGTACATCATTAGCACGGTATTGTCACACTTTTATTAACGGCAAAACTTACTCCACATACTTCCATCTTGTTCACAAACACAGCTTTTGTCAAGGAAATTCAATGAGATGTTACCTGTAAAAGTATGGTGTAATAGGACTTACATTTTCACTTGAACTTCATATATCTTACTAAACTTTGTGATCAGTACCATCACAACTGTCAGGAAAAGAAAGGTGCAAAAAAAAAAAATTCAATTAAACAGATACACATAAATTTTACTTAAAAACAAAAAAGAGCTGTTTTCCATTTAAATCTAGTCAATCTCCTTTAGCTTACCTTATTGGATCACCCACCAAAATCATACAAAGCTTCTAAGCTCTGTAAACTTTCTGGTTATAGTACAGGTATATGCAACCGCAAATTATGAGACTTATCCTGGAACAATTCAAGGAGGCTTACACTAGGTTATACGAAACATTAACGGTGATTATGCAAATACCTAACATATCAGACTGCTGCAATCTTAGAGCAGGAAACGGAGGAGCTGACCAAGCCATGGAACAGCTCTGCAAGGCTTACTGCAAATACTTTCAGCTTCCTTCAGGATCATGCCTTTAAATCCAAGCAATACGGGCACCAAGAGCTCAGTTCTGCTCCTCGATACGTGCACACACTTAACTAATCTTCATATCTGAATGGCCTGTGGCGCACGCCTCACGTACCCAAGCGTTCAGTCTCTACACCAACGCAGTACCAGGTTCCAAGGCACAGCTACATCCTGGATAGCACAGCACAGAGCTGGAGCTGATCCTGAAGTGCGGCATTTTTGCATGGTTTGTACGATAGCCTTCATTTGCATTTGTGTACTTGGTAACATTTTGTCAAGTTGTGCATTCATATCCCCTCACCATAGGATACTTAAAATCAAATTCACAGGTTGTGTGCATATACACTACTCCCACTTAACAGTACCACAAGCTACTCCGATGTGCTTATTAGGAAAGAACGCCTGTACGAGAGGTTCTGTTCAATTAATAAATGAATAGCTCAACCTAGTGAAACACTGGGTCAAAACACATTGTTGTAGTAAGTACACAGAAATCCCTGAATACTGCAGCGTATAGCGAGACAAAAATAAGTTTAACAGTATGCAAATGTCCTGACTTTCTTTGCACATCCGCAGTTTCTGAAATAATGGTTAAATAACTAAGTACTGGCATTTATGAGAATACAATAATTTCCACATATATTGTACTGTAAGCCTGAAAGCCACTACTTAGAAACTTCAAGCACAGGGTGCTTCTGGTTGCTAAGGCCATGATTCTGTAACAAAACGCATACAGTGCACCCACTTGATCCTCACAGATCTCAACAGGATGCTACACTGTACGATTGCCCTGCAATTAACCCTTCTTTTCAGCACTTGCAAAATCAGAAGAAACAACTCCTCCATGAAAAGCATGATAAACCATCATATTTTACACGGAGCAGAAGTTTTTAGTTAAAGCTGAAGTCTCCTATGGAAGTAACTGTGTTGATAAAGCTGTAAAACAGAGATTATAGAGTGCAGGAGCCCACCTGACACAAAAAACCTCACTCGTCTAATGCCCATAGTTCTTTGTAGGCAATTGGTGAGCCACTACCCTTCTCACTTCTATGAAAAGTGACAGAAATATAATGAGTTGTGGATTTAGGAAAAAAAAAAAAACTTGCAGAGTTAATAAGGATGAGTCACAGAATCACAGAATGGTAGGGGTTGGAAGGGACCTCTGGGGATCACCTAGTCCAACCCTTCTGCCGAAGCAGGGTCTCCTAGAGCAGGTTGCACAGGAGCTCGTCCAGGTGGGTTTTGAATACCTCCAGAGAAGGAGAATCCACAACCTCTCTGGGCAACCTGCTCCAGTGCTCTGTTACCCTCAGAGTGAAGAAGTTCTTCCCCATGTTCAGCTGGAACTTCCTATGCTTCAGTTTGTGCCCATTGCCCAGAGTTCTTGACTGTATTATCAGACACACGGGGCCCCTAAAGCAGACAGCAATGCCAGATTAAAAAGTACATTAGGTACTAAATTATGAGTGGAGAACCAGCAAGCATGTACAGGTGAAAGCTCTGTCACAATAACAGAATACCGTACTGCAGAGAAAACTTTTGGATGCACATCCCAAGAGCTTTCTGGTTTGAAGTTAGAGCAAGACATTTTTTTTTTATTCAGTAGACAAAAGATCTCCTGAGGTCATCGATGTTCAATCAAACTACAGTATAAATATAATAACACCCCCAGCATCCCTTATCTCACTTGAACACTATGCATTTTTTAAAGTGTTTAACCTTTATACTAAAGTTGAGAAACTGAAGGCTCTGTATAACTACGTACCCTGTAGTTACGTTCCTAATACACAGGGTATAAATTTTCCTTACGCCAGGCAAGAAATAACTATGTAAAAACAACACTATTAAGTTGGCATGGTGAGGCACTCAAGATTGAAGAAGTCATAGGCAGAACATAAAGTAATCCTCCCTGTCTGAGACCTTAACTACATGGGCCGATTTTTTCTCAGCATTTCCTGCCCCCTTCTGCTCAGAAAGTCGGAGGCAAACACGAGCGAGGGGACCCTAGTTCAAGTCCAGGGTATTGTGAAAGGCTTCTAAAGCAACTTTCCAGCTTTAAAGAGGCTGTGGCAGGAATTCTCTGGGCAATTTCTGCTCAGACAGACTTCATGCCTCCTTGAGCGATCTGGGTTACTGTTAAGTCCACGTACCTATGTTCCTTTCAAGTCAGCACAGGAGAAAGAGGGATACATCTTCCTTCTTCCCTGCCTCTTCATGATGGGAAGAGCTTAATCTTCGTCCATGGGTACTCTAACTGCCACTCTATTTGATGCCAAGAAACAGTGCTACCCGGGGAAAGCAACGGACAATGCACTGCCACGACGGGACTTAGCAAAACAGAAAAATACCAGACATTTTGTCTATGCTCTGAAACCCCTGAAGACTTTGTCATTTTGAGTTCTAAGACTAGAATAAAGTCCCATAGCACTCTGACACTCAACCTGTAGCCAGCTACTTGCCTCGTAACATTTCATCAAAAACACATTAAAGGCAGTGAATAATATATACACTTTTAAACAGAAAGTACATACAGAAGTTTTAGGCTATTTTAGGACTGTATAAAGTGTGAGTTCTACCTGCACTATTTTTTAATTTATCTTCTACACAATTTACTTGCTGAGTATTATCTCATTTGGCTGAATGGCGTGAAGTCAGAAGTGGCTACTCAGCGAAAGCCAACAGTCCTTCAGTAAAGAAAGTCGGGAAAGATCTCAACTGGGAAATTCCCACCTGCTGGGCTTCAGCTGGGCCAGCAGACTGGCCTGTCTGAAGTTTTACCCTATGACCAAAATAACATTAAATTGTGAAAGATCTCTGACAGAGAGCAAAGAGAGGAAACAGCTGGAAGGAAGCATCAGGACTGCCTTTCTCTCCCAGACCAGCAACAGTGGGTTCAGCATTGTGCAGTCTTCACCCAAAGCTGGCCAGGAAACGTCCAAGTTCAGGTAAGACCCAGCTGGACAGGTCTGGTGACATTTTCTTGATGGCTTTGATGATCAAGCAGTGCTTTGTGGTGAAGACACTGCTTTTCAGGTGCTGCACCCAGCTGGGGGAGTTGTTTTACTACAGCTGATCAAAAGAGAGTGTTCACACTGAGACCAAATCCAGGTGATCAAAGAGATCCCTCACCCCAAATTACTAACAGACGAGTCAAGAGAAGAGAGAATTTAACAGGGACTAAAAGATATCTGAAGTGCAACTTCCCTTTGTACCCAAAAGCTGTGGATACAGTTTCCTTGTTAGTTACTCTTTTATTCAGTGTACAGTGATACCCAGCTGCATAGGACATTTAGATATCCATTGCTAAGTGTCCCGGACAAGGATATTAATCTAAGGTAAAAGATGCTGTGCAAATACTGCTGTTAAACATGAACATACTTCCCTAAAAAAAAAAAATCCACTAGGGAAAAAACTGTGCTCTTGAAATAATTTCTAGTCATTTTATAAAAGGAAATCAACGCTTAAAGCGTATTAAAACAAACTTGAAAATTTTGATGTTCCAAGGCTTTCTAGTAAGTTGCATTTGTGGTTTTTTTTTATACTAGATGAATTTAATGGCAAAAAAATAGATAAGCTTTTCTATGCACAGTGTCTGGAAAAGATAATCAATTTCTTAGCTTTGAACATACACAATTGTTTTTAAGAGCCACACCTGGTTGACTGCTGATAAACTGAGGCTGAAAAACATAAAATTCATTAACCTAACAGAAGCCTAACCTGATGCATTCGCAACGAGCATAGTCTCATGAATACTTTATACTACACTAGATGGGAATTTCACCCAAGATGGAGGAGCAATGAATAATTTGCTTCATTCAATATGAAATACAATGATTTTTAACCTCAGACTCATGATTCGAGCTCATCCATGTTTTTTGTGGTGGTGCCCCCTGAAAGCATATCCTTATCAAGGTTATCTTGTAGATCTACTGACGTGTTACAATTCTCAGCGTCACATAAATCTTTCTCTATAGTGCCTGGGTGATTTCCACAGTCATTGTTCAGATCTTCATCACCTTTTTTGGAATGCGAAGTGTCCTCCTTTCTGTCTGAAGTATCATGAATTTCTTCCGATTTTGAAAGCTGACCGTTATCAGTATCGCAGTTCTTTTCACTGCTATTCTGCCTAACAGTATCGCAGTTCGGTTCTTGTTCATCCTGGTCATTGTGTTCCCCATTTTTTGCGAGTTCTACCTTTCTTTCTTCAGTTGTTTTACCAGCTGAGCTTCCACTTGCCAATGTATTTTTAGGCTCTTTTGGTTTCTTATGCTTAGAAATGTAACTATTGTGAATAGAAACTGGAGATGCTGGCTTTTTATTTGTTTTGCTTCCCTCCAACTTCTGTTTTCTTGGGGGTCCCCAGATAAAATGCTCTGAGGGTGTATAATGTTGCTGAGCAAATCTCAGGAGTTTCCTCCTTTCTCTTCGGTCTCTAATTGTATACACAAAATATTCCAGAGCACTTTGCTTAATGTTGGGAATCGTATCTTCCACAAGAGCTTCATGGAGAATAAATTTTACCAGGGGAGATTTAAAACTCTCATATCCAAGCTCACCAAGACTTTTCAGAATTCGAGTGATTCTCAAGTAGTTGTGTTGAGACCTTTGGAAGAAAAGGGTGAAAAAAGTCCATTGAATCAGAAAAAACCCACCTTACAGATACAGAACTAGAACTGCAATTCCTCACTCCTTTTTATCACTCCAGGTGTGTACTGCAGGCTTCCTGTACTTTAATTTCTCACAGCTGCTGAAGCTTGCTAGCACCTCCTTTGCTAGGATGTTGTGAGTGAAAATTAGTGTCTGTAAAACACACTAAGGCAACAGGCTGAAAAGAAAATAAAAATCAAAGTGTGCACTGATTTTGATTCCTTCTTCTGTATGTATTCTCTCCGAGGAGAAAAGCCAGTTGCTTTATAAAATGTGGGGTTTGTAGCATGCTGCTGTAATACAGCTACAGAACAGGATTCCCTGCACCTCACTTAAGCTATTTAAAAGCTGGGTCTCCAGTCTAGACCAGCTACCTGCGCTCCTGATAACAGTCGGCGCTGGGAGAAAAACCAGCACCTCTGGAGAGCAAGTCCCCCTGTCATAAGAAGCGTCTAAGATAAATGGAACAAACTACCTTCTGCAAGTGCATCTGAAGAGCGCTTTCCCTCATAAAGCACACCTAAGCAAACAGTAAAACTGAAATGCCTAAATTTTAGATGTGTAAAATCAGGCAAAGAGAGCCCCAGCTTCTGATTTAAAACTGTGTAGCTACTCACTGGTAAGAATACAGGCATTACAATGTAAAAATGTGCAGTGAGTAATATCTGGGCTTCCCGAGACCCTGTTTTATCTGTGGCCCGAGTCTGAGCCCACAACCATGAGTTGGCTCACGTAATATTTGAGTAAAATTAAGAACAAATTCTTTCCATTATTCACTACAAATTATCAACCAGCAACCCTACCCACACGCTTTCATTTGGGCAGGAGTACAAAATACTGCAAGAAAACAATCTTCAGCTCTAAGGTCTGAGGTATTGCAAAAGTGACCAAACGATCTGAAGAGAGATTTTGATACAATTAATCTGCACGGGACAAACTTCTGCAAACTTCTGCTCCACCAAATGCCGACAAGAGACAACAAATGTCATTTGCGGAAAGTTGGGCTAAACTTTGCCTTAATGTGTGTCTAAACCTCTCCAGTTAAGCACTGCAATTAAAAAGTTATTAAGTATTGAACACTTCATGTTTTGAGGAGGGAGGGAAATCTTGTTATTTAGCTTCCATACAGATGTGGAGAATCTGATTTTTCACAAAAAGAAATATGAATACAAAGATAAGGCACTTCTTTCCAACTCGAGAAGCAGCACACTGGGATCAGGTCAAAATGCATTCAGTAGCATGACAAGCAAATTAATTTGGAACTGTGACCTTCTTCAGCACCATCTGAAGTTGTATTTTCAGGGAATTGACTGATGTCAGGCTGGTAATGCGTGAGAAGCACAATCAAAAAAAGGGGAAGGAGGAATGTACACTTACAGACACAAACCAGGCACTGACTATATCTTTTTCCTGGCAATCTTTGGAAAATAGATCTTCTCTATCTCTACAAAACAAAAGGCTACAGAGATTCTATAGCAGTTCTAGAGAGTGAAGTGCATGTCATTACTTACTCATTCAAATGTTGAAATCTTTCTTGCCAGTTAGCAGCTCGTGCTACGTTTCCAGTTTTATCAATTAGTTTTATTCCAAAAAACTCCAACATCATTTTGTAAGCCAAAAGGAATCTTCTAATTGCTTCTTTTGTTTTCTTGAATTCCTAATAAACAAAGAATACGTCCAAAATTCTAAGTAGCACTAAAGCAAGTCCTTCTGCATTGTGTAAAACAACTCAACAAAACAAAAAGCAGTTATGTATCAAAATTAATGTGCTGGTTTGTATTGATCTCCATTTGTATTACCTCAATTTCATATGTAGTTAATTCTTTAGCATAGAAGTTCAGGCCCTGTTCCCTCAGTGGGAAAAGCCTGTTAAAAGAAAGAGTGCATTATGGCTCACAGGATACAAACACTGAATCAAATTAATGCTTTGAAACAGAAATAGGTAATAAGTGACCAACCACTGTATGTAAGTGTGATTATGTTCCAGTTTTTCGTAGTCTCCTTTCCATTTATTTAGGACTTCTTCAATATAAACTCCTGCATAAAAATAGTTTGAAAACGCTTAGGTAGCCATCAAAACTAGCGTTCAGCTGCATAAAGTACATGCCACGTTAACATAATGACAGAACCCATACTTCAAGTCTCTTTGACATACTATGTGAAATAAGGTCTATTACAGCCATGAAGAAATTCATTTTAATTTAAAATTAGTTACTAAAACATAAATAAGAAATTTATCAAGTTTCAATACAAACAAAACCTACTGACTTATACCAAGTTACTTACCAGCAGAGGGTATGTGACAATAACCTCAGTAAAATACAATTCCCCTAAATTTCTCATGTCCTAGATCCCTTTATCACACTGACTGGTAATTAACAAACCACTTCCACAAAATACTGCATCGTGAATCACCTGTTACTGCTTTAACATGACAAAACTCTGCACATATATATGTATCTCTCTCTATCTCTCTAAGTGTCTCATCTTAGTAGAACAAAGCCTCAACTCCTTTAGAAATCTCCTATTCCAGGAATCTCTCCAGCTGCAAATAACATTACGATTGGGAAATCTCTCTCAATTAGCTGTGGCCAAGCGTCTTGCTGCCATTGCTATGAGTTTGACCTTGGGTTCTCTGGTCTTGCTCAACAGATGAGAATTTCAGCTTTTAGTGGTCTCAAAACAGTTGTGGAGTACAGTCAGTTCCTCTTGGAAAAACACAGTGACAGAAAAAGGGGAAAAAGTACGTGTAAAAGGAAATTAATCATTCTTCGCACTGAGACCATGCCTATGAAATTCAGTCACAGGCCAGGGCACTTTTCCAGGCACTGCATAAACACACAAAGCACATAAAAAGATGTTCCTTGTTCCAAAACCTGTACAGTCTCACTTCCTGAATGAATACTCAGTGTTTGCCTGTTTCTGCTCTGAAACCAACAGTCTGACCACTGCCGCATGGCCTCTCCCAAAGTCAAATAGCATAGGAGTGGCCTAAAAAGCCCAAAGCCGCACATAGATAGTCTCCTCTTGCACATTTGCACTATTTTCCCCCCCCAGTGAAAATTTCCACTTGGGTCTCAATGGCCAACGAGAACTGATTTGGTACTTTTCTTCAAGAAATGGAGAAAGCAGCCAGTCAAAGGGGCTGCTAAGAACATGTGGTTTCCGGTGCAGGCAAGGCTGGAAAAGGGTCTTGCAAAGACGACCTCCCACCATCACCGCACTGTATCTAACCTACGTTTCAAGTACTGGAAAACTTGCTGCTCAGTTCCAGGGCGAAGAGACAGACAGGCCAGCTCTGAGTCAGAACCACAAGCTAAATTTGTAGGTCACGGAATTAAACTTCAGATCTAGTATTGCACTAGAAATGTCTTTTTTTAATAACATTCCCCAGCAGTTCAGTCCCTAAACGTGGTAGCTTAGACGCCCTCTGAACACTCTCACAGATACACAGACTTAGGTCAAGGTGATGGCTTCTCTTTCCCATTCTCAATAAAAAAAAAAATCTACGTAACCAGAGCTCACAGTCATCACCACTCCAGTCTTCATGGCCTATCAGCTACCTTTGACACTAGCAACTGCAGTTTTCTCCTAAAACATTAAGAGAAATTTTATTCTTCACAAATTTTAAGAGGGATGCCTTTCTCTAGCTTTCATGGCTATCTCTTCTCGTGGCTAATCCTCTTGAACTGCTCCTTCATTTTGCACTTTAAAGCATCATCCTCCCCACCCCTCCCAACCTTTTCTGGCTTTCAGTTTCAGGTTCACATAGTCCTCAGGTTCACATGGACCAAGGTGCCCTTCTTTCTGTATCTGTTCTCTGCATAATGTCTCCTGAAATTTCTGCCTCTGTACTGGTAATTCACAGATCTACCTCTTCTTCCAGTCAAGCTAAAAACACGGTCTTCAGCACCTGCCTGGGGATATTGAGATAAAGCTCAAGACGATTAAAACAAAGTCTTATCTCTCTTTCACATATCCTCAGCAAGTGAGAGAACAAGTCAGGTTATTATCACTGCCTTGCCTATAAACAGCTCTCATCTTCAACCATCCTATATGCACATCTTTACATTCTTCTACATAACATTCCTTCCCATCCAACTTCCTATCAGAACTTTGATGTTTTGCAACTCAACATCTTCTTTCCTGACCTTGAAAAGTGCCCTCGTCATGCTTATATCTACCCTGAACACTGCTGGTAAGATCATGTTTCTTGACTGCGGCTTTTTTTATATTGCCTTTTTTTTTTTTTTGGCATTGCATTCTTCCATCGCGAAGCCCTTTTCTGTAACATCAAAAACTATACACCTTCACTTCCAAAGTCTTTTGTCACCTGTCCCTTCCTACCTTATGGGAACCCATTTGTTGCTATGAGACTGATCCTGCCTCTGACAGCATCCTGCCTTGATGGCAGCCTCCACATCTCACTTCTTCTGCACTCCAGTGTGCACTTTGGTACTTCCTCCCAAGCTGCTCTCATGCTGAGAGGATCTTTCTGCAAACACCTTCAAAGCAACCTCCTCATTGTGCTCTTAAAACTCTCAAAAGCTTATTTTTGGCCTGTAATTTTTTTTGCCAACAGCTAAGCTCTCATGTGCCAAGACTCCTGTCTACCATTCTAATCAAGACTGTTTTATTGCCTCCTCCTGCTTCCCCATCTGTCTGCTACCCTCTTGTCTCTCACACTTTGACTGCAAACTCTCTGGAGCAGGGTTTGTCACCTTTCAGCTCGTCCTGTGTTTGTGCAGAATCTTGCATGTGAGGTTCCTTCTCCACTACCAGAACCACTAGGGACTTTGAGAAACTATTTTATTATTGTTATGATACTAATTACACATGAGGGAGTTGCAACACATTCTTTTTCCCTTACACAGCACTAGGGATAACACCCATATCCCTGCCACTCCTACAAGAGTCTGTGCAGCATGTGAAGCAACTTTAGCTTTGTTTAATAAAAGGTAATGACACTACTGTAAAGCTGTGGGACAAACAACGCCCTGTACTAAACCATGCTGAAAATGCATGAGAAAATCACCACCCCCCTAGAGTGAAACCTACTTCTGGTTTAAGCATAACCTGCTCCCACGTTATCAACGTGTTACTCCAACACTGGAGGTTCAAGCTATACAATATATAACTACACACTTCAAATGTGTCAGCACCACAGTTCTCACTACAGTTTCACTTTGTTACTATTATTAGTAAGCATTCTTTTGTTATCACTATCATTGCCACAGGTTACTCACCATCAGGTTTAAAAGGGATTTTATTTTTGTAAAAGCGGAGATTGCACAAGTCATTTTGATATCGAAGGTCTTTAAAGTTCTGCTGAAAGAAAGGAAATAGGACATTATCACCCTAGAAAAACCTATCAAGAGCATCCAGAAAGTGATACTGTGCTCTCTGAGTAAGGTGAGGACTAAAAAAATTTCAGAGTCTTACGAGAACTGGAAATCGCTTAGAATTACTCATGCTCTTAAAGATTCAGTTTAAGGATCTGCAAATTCCTCCTGGCTGGTACCTGCTACTGAGGCAGAGGTTAGAGCAGCGAGCATAGCTTTGGTCTCAAGGAACTTCCAAGACGCAGATAATAACAACTCCAAACGCTACCATCTACCCTCTTCGATGTTCAAGGCACAAGCTTTTTTCTCGGCTCCTACCGCTGTTCCCACGCTCACACTTCTCACATGTTCACACGTACACCTGGGATGAAAAGACGCTGCACTAGTTTCACTCCTCTCCCACTGGCATACGTTGGGCCTCTGCCTCAGCTTTTTGATTGTTCTCGTTTCTCATATTTACTGGGTGCTACAAAGGTTTAATAATATTTGGGTTGTGTGCCATCTTCTACTAAAAAGGCAATTTTAAACCACAAAATATTCTTACTGGATACTGGTGTCGGTACTTGTACAAATCTCTTGCTGCGTAGAAGCTTCTCTTTGGCTTGGCTGTCAGCTCAGTTCCATCACCACTCTGAAACAGTTAGAAAGTAGATAATAACCACACACAAACTCAGTAAATACTGAATTTGTGTAATATTAAAATAATTATTTTTCATTATGGATTTCAGCAATGTAAACATGCATATATTTGCCTACTGTTTGGTCAAACACTGAAAATCTCCCTGCTGAATACTTAACACGACACACTTTAAATCTAAACTAAAAAATTAAATACAAAAGCAGGACTATGAAATGTCCTTCCAATTAGATTGAATTTGATTTAAATCAACAATTTGATTGTCATTTCCAAACACAAGACTTTGAAGTAACCCAGAAAGTTCCACCACAAGATGAAACAAGTAACTGAACACGAAAACGCGGAGACACTACTCATTTTGAACAGGAAATCATACTATTTGCAAAGACTATTTGTCATGTGTACATTGATTCCATTGCTATCATTGCATCCTGTGGAAGAAAATGAATAGTAACGGACAAGCCAATTCGCAGTTCTAACACCTTCTTGAATCATTTTAGAATCATAGAATGGTAAGGGTTGGAAGAGACCTTAGAGATCATCTGGTTCCAACCCCCCTACCACGAGCAGCGACATTTTCTATTATTTGTTTCTTGGAACTTAAATTTAAAGCCTAGTGAGAAGAACAACTAAAACTCAAGACAAAAACCTGCTTCGACAAAACACACATATATGAAAACTTGAACTGGACCCCAGCTGTTCAGAAGCTGTGACCCGAAACAACTGCAGCCCATCAAGGTCAATGGAAATCATCCCACTGACTTCAGAGAACACTTGAAAAAGCTGCATGCATTGAGGAAAAACAGAAAATGAAGTGTTAGTGTTCAGAGACTTCAACTTGCTACCAACAACTTTATTTTCTTTGTAATTTCTTTACAACCACACCGCAGCAAAGAGTTTTGTATTCTTCAACCATGTAAAATAAGTCCCTACACTAAAACCAGAGGCCAAATAAGAAAAAAAAAAAAATCAATTCCACTCCTTGCAATACACACGTAACAGGCTAAAGCCAAGCCTAATCAGGTAAGTTCCCTCTGACTGCACTGGGCGTTTGCCTTTACTGTTGCCCATCCCAACGCTTTTCAGTCGCATGTTAATGACAAGCGAGCTCTGTTTTCGTTCTTCCTTCTGCAAGGCCAGCTTTGACCACAGCTCCGGGCAACACCCCTTGACACCCAGGCATCACGATCACCACGTATCAAGCAGAACAGGGAGAAACGCTTACGCTTATTTAATTTTACAGTTTCTGAATGAAATATAAACGTAATACATCTAACAAAATAAAAAAAAAAAGAGCTAGTTGGTCCACCCTGCGCTCAGCTCCAGTAAAATCACTGGCCAAGCAACCCTTCATTTCTTCAGGGTGGTCACTTTTAAAGGATCCTAAAAGACAGAAACTTGCTCCGCAAATCCCTCACCTCGGACCCACCAACCCGTCGCCACGTACGGCCCAATATTCAGATTTTTCTAACCTAATTAATTAAGAGGCCAAGTTGAAGACCACGTTTAATTTGCAGCAGAACCCTCGCT